AGCAAAGAGTACACACTTTTCATTAACACTGGTATCTCATTTCTAAACCACTGACTTCAAAGTTGCTGTAGAAACATAACACAAGTACTGAAAGCATACATTCGAGGGTTCATGGATTTTTAAAAAAATGCATTTCCCTCATCTATATTCACCAGTCTTTAATACCTTGGCTACAAAGCATATCAGAAAAAGGGAAGTTAAGTGGGGGTAATGTCTAAGGAACATATGTAATTCTGGAAATAGGAAAAGTGTTCCAGAAATGGGATGAATGTGCCAGCAATAAGTATAGTTCGTTTCATTTGAAAATTCAGTTAAGGAGCCCGTAAACAGTCCCAAACCATAATGTTATCACCTGTGTAATTTACATAAACATTAACACACTTGCACTTTATAGACAAGACACACTCTGTAAACATGGCCACTGGGGGAGGGAGGCTCCCTACCTTACTCATGATTGAGAACATGTAATCATTATATTAAATAAAATTACTTAAATTTCAAAAGATTTCAAACCTGACCAATAATTAAGCTTCATTTCCCCCATGTTTAACAACATTTAAGCATTTATTCTAAAAATGTCACCTAGGATGGTTTCAGGGTTAGATGCTAGAACCACAACTGGCAATGACAGCAACTCCTTTCTAGCTGGCACAGACCTATAACTTTAGTACAAAACCAAAAGGATAAAAAATAAAAAATAAAAAAAAATACAGAAACTAGGTCAATTTGTTAGCTACATATTTACAGCTACTTACATGATTTTCCACTCACAATTGCTAAAAACTATGAGTGAAAGGAAACTGTGCAGGTTGAATTACCCGTACTTTGAGGGGAATTCTCGGGCATCAAGATACCCTTTTTCATTCATTCGGAAGTCTCACCCTTACTTCACTTTTTCATGGCAACTACCTACAGATGTTCAGATTAGTACTGTCCAGTGGGCATTCTTCAGTTTGAGAAGATTAACCCTTTTCTCTACTTAAAGAAGAACCCTTTGCATAATTAAAAACAAAGAGTACAAACAGACACACACACGCAAATCTCTGAAATTTCAAAAAGTCTGGATCACTGGGAAACAATTAACAGTGATGGTGACAAAGCACATGGCTCCCTAGTTTTAGTTCTCTGCCTCTTTTTTAAAAAATATATCTATCTTCGGGTGGGTGGGAAGTGCAAGTTTAAGAAACTCACAACAGGCAAATAAGGTGCATAATTTATATATTTGTTATGATCTGAAGAGTACCATTAGGCCAAATAGGTTCTATTCCCTTGTAAAAGTGAAATTTTGGAAATCTGAATATAAACAAAGAAGGGAAAAAAAAATCAATACAACTTTAAAGAGGGCTACCAAAACTCAGTAGAAAATACAAATGCACAAAAGAGGAAGAGTTCTCAGCTTCACTTTTTTCTAGACAGTGTTTAATAAAACTTACTTCTTTACAAATTAATAGTCATTTCAAATGCAGATCCACTGTAGTGATTGCATAAAAGTGCAGCTAACATAACCAGACACAGCAAAACAGACTTCAATCAGTAGTCCTTGCATTTAAAAGGCAAGTATGCTAAATGAACAGCACACTCTTCATCCTTTACAGAATCTGAGGATGGGAAATTTCCAGTTCTTAACAATTAAGAATGAACATGTGCCTTTTAAAAGGCAATGCTATACCTAGGTGGGAATAGTATCATGTCTGATGGGGGAGAACAAAATGGAGAATTTCTCTTCAATAATGATCTATATTTTGGTAAGCAGCTCAAAGATGACAGCCCAAATACTGGCTTTATTCCTTAAAGAAGGCTCTAAAAAATGAGAATCTCTTCTTCCATCATTATAGGAGATTCACACTTACACACCTTAAATAAATTATTTTCCGACTGAATACACACTAGGACACTTCACATTTTGAGCATACGACAAAATGCAGAACTGTATAAACCTCCAAGGGTGCTGTGTTGGGCCAAATCTCTGCTTGAATAGTCGTGGCTCAGAAGGGGTGGAAGGTGCACAAAGAACTTACTATTAGCAAGCAAGAAGAGGCAGCTAAAAGGAGAAAATCCCTCACACCATATCCYTCTCTCCCAGTGGCCATTTCCTGTTGATTTTATGCTTTAGGAGTACCTTAGATGCTTTCGTAGTAATTCCTTTTTTGGCTGTTTTGATCCTCAATAAAATATATAACTGCTACTATTAATGGAGTTAAAAAAAAAAGGAAGAGGATCAATAGTATCACAACTAAGAAATATATGCAAAAAAGTACATAAAGACTCTGTGACTTATTGGTTCTTTTTATCATCTTTGCAGAGGAATCACCACCAGTGTTCTTCCTTTTCACAGTTCATTTCTCTCTGCATCATTTACCTTTTTATTGTATCATAACATAAACTCAAAGAAACACTAGCTGGCCCTTTCCCCAGAACAATTTTACTGCATTGCAATTTATGGGTCCATATTTTACTTAAGTTTCTCTCCACTCACACAAGTGCTAAGAGGGGATTAAAAAGGAGAAGACTGCACAAATTGTCATCTTCTCATAAATATCAACCCAGAGTACACATTCTTTAAAACACATGCATTCTGGCCATAACTGAGGACTGAAATAACAAAAGCAAACAAACAACAGCAACAACAACAAACAGAACCTTAAGTGCCCTGATGGAAATGTACGGTATGAGTTACATCCATCCATTTATACACACATATAGACACTCATATGTATATACAATATATACATACACATGATAATAGCTATACCAAAAATGTGCACATTTAACACAGTTTTTAAAAGCCAGTAGATCATGGTATAATACAATTTATTTCCACTAGTGAATGGCACAAATGGAGAAATGCAAAGGAGGTGTTTCAAGTACAATAAAGTCATTTTTCACAGGTGAAAATAAACAGTATTATTCCAGTGTCTAACACAATGAATTCTATAAAAGTTTAAAATGCCAGACATTTAGTACTTACAGAAGCAGAAAGTCTGCCTTATGGTTTGAAAAAGACACAGAGTTTTCAATTTTTGAAAAGGCAGTGAGGAAAAAGTGGTGGAAGTGGGAGGGGAGTGTCCAGGACAGTTTTTTAGTGTTTTGAATGATGTTTATATGATGTCCAGTCAAAAATCATAATGACTATGCCAAGAAGTTCAATTTAATAATTCCTTGACTTAGGGTACTTAGCATATTACACCTGTGGGTATGACTTCAAATGTAGGACTATGTGCCTCAAAAGAATGGCAGCTCTTAATAAAAATATAAACATTTTTTAGCTAACATTATCTACATAATGAAAATGCTTTCAGATACTCTAATTTGGGGTTAGAATTGAGTTTAAAAGGGAAGAAAAAAATATGTGCAAAGGGGAGGGAACCTAATTAGGAATAAAATGTTTCAAGGTATATGAGGCTTTGCATTTTTAAAATGCTAGCCCAAAAAAGGGAGAAGGTGAACACAAGAAGACTTTCACTGCCAGGCTCTGGATACCAGATATAGCATTTACAACCTCTGATATGCTACATAAATTTCCCATATTTAAAATTTTCTTAAACACACACACACACGCACACACACATGTATATATAAGTGAACAGCAATACCAGGGAGGAGGTAGTGTTAATTTGATCAAATGTTGACATTTGCACACTGATTCAGAAAGTGCTTGCTCTTTCCTTAGGWTAGCTCATCAAAACCATTCAAATTTTCCTGTTACCAGTTTCACTATGTGATGATTCCTATCGTGTATGAGATTCCTCACAAGTTAGATCTCATAAACATAAATGAACCAATTTGAATCATTTTTGCAGACTACATATTTTAATTAAGATTAGTTTAATGGCATAATCCAGGTATAGTCATAACCTACATATAAACTGGTTGCCATACAATTAAATTACATACAAAGCCCTTCAGGATAGACACTTGGGAGTCAATATTCAATCACACTTTTATAAAAGTACATATGATCTCAATGAACTTAAGTGACTCAATTTGACTATTTGAAGTTCACAACTGGACTTTAAAATGTATTACTGGTAGTATTTTAGGTTTAAAAGAATTTTGTATGCAAATCTGATCTGCTTTCCTATTCTATCTCTGCAGTAGTAGAGAAGGGCCATATCTAAGAAGGGTGCGTTTAAAGGTATTCTATATTTTGGGGCATTTTGTTAAATTCTGAATCTCTTATTATTTTCCTCCAAATAGGAAGATTTCTCTGCTTGCTTGAAAGACCTTATAATATCTGAATGGAAAAAAGAACATCAAGACTAAAAGTCCTTTTCATTAGATGGAGCAAGTACACATATTTATCTAAAAACTGGTGATCTGGAGCATAGCGAAGAGGACAATGTGTCCGTGCACTACTTAAAGCACTGTCTAGAAGTGTGTGTGAACTCCACTGTGATTTGATTTTTAAAAGATTTATATAAAAATATTAATTTTTCGTCTTGTTCACCTTCAAATCAGTGTCAGAAATTCCTAAAGGGGGGATTCTTGGAGACTCGACTGACATACCCAGGGAAGACTTAAAATTTGAGAAAATCAAGACTTTAGTGACATATTACAATTTGGTCACTAGTTTGGTCTAGGTGAAGAGTTTTATTTTGAGGGACGTGTAGAGTTCTACCTTGGAGCCCTCTGACTACATGAAAAGCAGGATGCAGAGTTAGCAGCAAGTCTTTCAAGATAACTGGGGAGCGGGCAGGACATCAACTTGTAAGAAACTCTGATCTGTCACAGAAAGGACATTTTTTTTTTCTTCAAGTCATATTCACAGCTCCCCACCCACTTCCAACTCAACTTCCATACAAGCAGTGGAATACCAAGTAACATCTGACTTTCAACATTGGGTTGATCCTTCATTGTAAAATAAAACAAAACACAAAACAAAACAAAAAACATGACCCCCAACTCCCCGAAAAAAAAAAAAAAAAAAAGTTAGCTTTTGTCAAGAGATTCCCTGACCACTATAACTTACTTTTATTTATTTATTTGTTGTTGTTTTTTTTTTTTTTTTTCATTTAGCAAACCTCCTAGTTCCTTTTCAGTAGTATTTCAGCTCTGAGGCTTGAGACTTCTGGAAGTGGTGTTTCCTATTGTGTGATGTTAACATGATCCAAAATGATTACTAAGTCTCAATGAACTAGAAGTTTGTAAAGTACTRCAGCAACAAAAACAGCAATTAAAAAATAAGAGGACCTGCATATGCAGCAAAATCTACAGTGGTGATGAGGATTAGTCAGCAGCTGGTAGTCATTGGCTCAGTGACTCCTGGATCACTATGGCAACTAAACATTTAAATAATCGACTAATCTACTTGTAAACAGGAAATCCCATAAGCCAAAAGGGAATAATCAAATTCTGTCTATGTAGTGTGATGAGTATTCCAATAGATGGCAGTTTGCAAATATGGCATCATTCAAATACCTCTGGCATTTGATTTGTATTGGCTATGTTTTTGTTTTTGCACAAAGTAAAAGTACTGTTTGGGGTCTTAAAACTTACAGAGCTTAGCTAGGATGAGATATCACAGTACAAGCAACAAAATGTCAGGATATACAGGCTTCATCTCCTTACTAGGTTGCTCGACATACCTATCAGATGAACTTTCTAGGAACTGTCTCACCCCTTTGAAGGCTCACAGGTTTATTAATGCATTCCTCACACAACTTGTAATTTCTTTAAGCAACCCCATCTTACTGTGACACAAAGAAGGCACAACTGAATGAACAAAAATCATTGACAAATTTATGAAGCTTTCAGAAAAAGAAGTAAGTTATTTTCTACCATCTGAAATGATCAATATAATCCCTTAGTGTTTGTGGATTTCTGCTTTTTTACTCCAAATCAGGCTGAGAAGTCAAACCAATCTAACAAAAAAAAAATTCCTTGGTGGGGGTTGCAGGTGTGTTCCAATAATACCTTGTTTCAGCATAGGCTGCCTGCTGTCAGTGGCTCATAAGAATTCGAAGAACACTTCAGATCTTCTCAAAAACTCTTAGGATATGGATACCCTCAAGTGATGACTCAAGCCACTTTGCTGCATTTTATTTCTGCAGTGTTCAGAAAATACCCCCTCTATCTAGCCAATTTCTTTTTACTACATGCATGAGATATTTAATATCAATTACCCTTTTCAAAATTTGCCCAAAAATTAAAAAAAAAAAAAACAAACAAAAAAACACACACACAGTAACACAAAAAACCCGGCAGCCAAATACTATGACGTCCCAATTAGTAAACACAAAACAGAATGCTTTACAAAAATGAATAAAATATACCATATGCACTCAGCTCCCACACTGTAGTACCCAAGTRAGGAGACTGCTGTGACGATGTCTGTAGGCAGTTTCTTTTGGCAGACAGCTCCAGAGGAATTGCCACTCTCAATTATTAAGTTATGTATAAGACATGTGTGACCCATTGGATATTTGTGAAGTGACACTCGTGCTTCTGCTCATGCCCTGCTCCGTCCGTCCCCCAGAAGCTGTCCGCCTCAGAGCCTGGGGGCTATTGCGGACTCCCATACTGCTACCTCGGGGTACCCCTTGCATTGGACCCGAGGGGTGACCCCATGGCTGGGGTCCACCTTGCATTGGATGGCCCCAAGCTTGTGGTGGGCCACCCATGGGATGACCCCAGTGAGGTCCTGGACCCCCAGTAGGATTGTGAGACCAACCAGATGCTCCCGGGTAGCTGTGGCTGAATGCCTCAGGGGAGAGGTTAGAAAGGACCATGTTACTAAAACCTAGTCTCATGCTTTCAGAGTCAAAAGCTTCAATTTCTCTTGCTTGACGCTCCAGCAGGCTCCGTATTCGTTCTGTTCGTTCATTCTGCAAAGCCAACATTTCTTCTTCAATCTGTTGGGGAATTAGGAGAGAGAAGCAAAAATAAAGCAATTTATTTTTTAAAAATCTAAGAAAGCAATTAAGTATTCAGCTTAAAAGAAGCTATTTTATTGATACATATTTATAATTTCAAGATGTACTATAAAATAATTCATAATTGTTATTTCTAAACATGTAAAATCAAGTTCTTAAAAACAAAAGCAATAACCTCTATTGAAATAATAAATTAAGACAATTATCATGGATGGTTGCTAAATCCATCAGGTAAGAAGCTGTTGGAAAATGCAAATGAGTGAGAGGAAATCAGCTTTATCAGATACCAAAATGTCACTCTAATAAATAAAATAAATATTGGTGTAGGAATAGATTGGTGAAACAGAATCAGAATGAATTCAGATCCTACTTAGGTTTTTAAGCCAGAACAGGGCTATAACTCAGTGGTAGAGAACTCAGCTAACACTCATGAGGCCCTGAGTAGTTCAATCCCCACAAGACAGAGAAAGAGAGAGGATGGAGGGAGGGGGGAGGGAGGGAGGCAGAGGGAGAGGGAGAAGGAGAGGGAGAAGGAGAGGGAGAAGGAAAGGGAGAAGGAGAGAGAGAGAGAGAGAGAGAGAGACAAAAACASACACASACASASACACACACACACACACACACACACACACACACACACACACCCATACCCATATGCAGAACAAAACATTAGTTAATTCAGTGGAGATAAGACAAAAATAAATAATACAGGAAAACTGGCCAACCATCTAGAGGGCAATAAAAATGGAACCCCATTTTAATGTCATATACAAAAGTACATTCCAGATGGAACCAACCCTTAAACGAAAAACAAAAAACTATGATAATCTCATAAAAAGTTAAGAGACTATGTACAATAAATCAATAGTGGCTGTGTGACCATCATAATTCATTATGGAAAATTGGAAAGTATTATAAATAAGTAAATAATTTATATAGAAAAATATATAATAAAGTCCAGTTTTTAAAAGTTGAAGGAAGATGAGTGTGGTGCTACATGCCTGTAATTTCAGTGGCTTAGGAGGCTGAGGCCCTAAGCAACTTAGCAAGACCCCATCTCAAAATATAAATAAACAAACAAACAAACAAACAAATAAATAAATAGGGCTGGGGGTGTGGCTCAGTGGTGAAGTGTCCTTGGGTTCAATACCTGGTACCCAAAAAAAAAAAAAAAAAAACAAGAAAAAAAAAAGGTTGAAGGAGAACTTCTATTGGATGACTGGATTGACAACACTTGAATCTACCAACTAATATTAATATTACCTTAAAGTGGGATAACACATTATAAATGTCTTAATGTAACGCAAAAGGAAGTACACAGTAACCCTTATGAAATATCCTCGCAAAAAAACTGAAAGAAAAAAAAAAACTGAACCTAAATACAATCATGCTTCTGGATCTAACTATCAGTTTGTAGAAAAATATTATAGAAAATAGCAAGTAGAAGAGAGGAAAATATAAATGACACCATGATGATATAATCAGCCAAACCCAGAATTTAGACATTTCTATAGTGCATGATTCAACTCATAATTAAAATAAGGTAAAGGGTACTGATAGACGAGAAAGCTTAAAAGGCAATTAGCCAAATGTATGGACCTTGTTTGGGCTTCAATCCAAATAAACCAACTGTAAAGAGTATTGCTTTGCCTTGCACAGTGTAACCTCAGCAACTTGGGAGGCTAAGGCAGGAGGATCACAGTATCAAGGCCAGTCTCAGCAACTCAGCAAGGCCCTCAGCAACTTAGACCCTGTCTCAAAATTTAAAAAAGGGTTGGGGATGTGGCTCAGTGGTAAAGCACCTCAGGGTCCAATCCCCAATACCGAGGGGGCAGGGGACTTTTTTGAGATAATAGGGGAAATTTAGATGTGAACTACAAAGTTATTAATTTTGTTAGATATAACAATGKAATTATGGTTATTAACTGTAATTAATGTGATTTCAAAGTCCTATCCATATTTTCAATAGTCATTGTTCTCTACAGAAATCTAGCTGAACAAATATGTTTAGTTTTTTATACATCAAGTTTATAAAAGTGCCCTTTAAAAAATACACTTCTTTTACATAGAAAGCACATACAAGATTGCAATAGAATATAATAACACATAAGAGATTTATAGATATAGGATGAAATCATTTACATTATATGGAAGTGTTAAGGGGCAAAGAAATCTCAAAAAAAGATGGTTTATATACTGGATTGTAAAGGAACAATAGAAGTTGACCAGATGCACAAGGCAGGAAAAGATATTTTTTAACACAGGAAAGGTGGAAAGGCATGGAGAAATAATAAGTGGTGTCTGGGAATGTATAAACACGCCAGAATGCACTGGAGTAAGAAGAGTTTAAGAATTAAGCTGGGCACAGTAACAAGCACATCTGCAATCCCAGCAACTCGGGAGGCTAAGGCAAGAAGACTATATATTTGAGGCAAGCTTGGGCAAATTAGGGAGACCCTGTTTCAGAAAGGGGAAACAAAAAAATTCCAGTACCCCCAAAAAATAAATAGGTAAAAATAAGAGTTTTAAGAATTTAAAACTGGGATTTAAATTTAAATTTGGGATTGTGGCTCAGTGGTAGAGTACTCGCCTAGCACACATGAGGCACTGGGTTTGATCCTCAGAACCACATAAAAATAAAATAAAGATACTGTATTAATCTAAAAAACTAATAAATAAATAAATAAACAAATAAATAAGAATTTGTATTCTAGGGCTGGGGTTGTGGCTCAGTGGCTCAGTGGTAGAGTGCTTGTATAGCACGTGTGAGGCACTGGGTTCGATACTCAGCCCCACATATAAAATAAACAAACAAACAAAGGTATTGTGTCCATATATAACAATTTTTTTTTTTAAATAAAAAGGGGTTGGGGCCATAGTTCAGTGGCAGAGACTTTGCCTAGCATGTGTGAGGCACTGGGTTTGATCCTCAGAACCACATAAAAATAAACAAATAAAGGCATTCTGTCTATTTTACAACTACAAAAAGTAAAAAAGTAAATTTAAAAAAATTTGTATTCTAAGTGTAAAAATGTTAATAAAATAGGTTTAGAAAAGCATTTTATATGAAAGTTGAAGGAGGACACAGATTAAACATGATTTCTTCTGAGAGAGATTAAATTGTTAAATGTGGTAATTTCTCAGTGGTAGAATGAAGGACAAATTTTAAGTTCTTTTTATGCTTCTCAATATTTTCCAAGTTTAACAAAATATGTAGAACTGGGGATGTAGCTCACAGACTACTTTTCCCAGTTCAACCTTGGTACCCCCCACTTCTACACAAGTATCTGTAAAATAATTTTCCCATTATTTTAATATTTCTATAAAATACCCAATTCATACAGAATTAAATTTACACATCTTTAAGGATTCAGTTTTTCTTTTAAAAAAAAACGTAAAAAATTCATTCACTAAAATATTTATCTTAATTCAAGATGTAATAAATGATGAGAATGTGGTAGGCATATAAATGAACTGAATTTCTACATATATTTGAAGGGAACTCATGATAAAATAATAAAACCAATGAAACAGAATAGAAGAACACAGAGACAAATCCACATATCTACAATCATCTGATCCTTAACAAATATACCAAAAACATTCACTCGAGAAAAGACAGGCTTTTGAACCAGTGGTGCTGGGAAAACTGGTTATCCATACATAGAAGAATGAAAGTAGACTCTTATCTCTCACCCTGCACAAAAATCAATGCAAAATGGATCAAAGACATAGGAATTAGACCAGAAACTATGCAAGCCCTAGAAGATAACGTAGGGCCAACACTCCAGCATAAAGGCACAGGCAACAACTTTCAGTAGGACTCCTAACACTCAGGAAGCAATGCCAAGTGTTAATAAATGGGATGACATTAAATTAAAAAGCTTCTGCACAGCAAAGGAAATAATTGGGAATGTGAAGAGAGAACTTACAGAATGGGAGAAAATCTTTGCTACTATTCTTCTGCCAAATTAATATCCAGAATATATAAAGAATGCAAAACAATAACCCCCTCCCCAAATAACCCAACTAATAAATGGGTAAATGAATTAAACAACATTTCTCAAAAGAAAAAATACAAATGGCCAATAAATATATGAAAAAATATTCCAATCATTAGCAATTAGGGAAATGCAAATCAAAACCATACTGAGATTTCATCTTACAACAGTYAGAATACCAGCCATCAAAAACAAACAATAATAAATACTGAAGAGGATGTGGAGAAAAGGGAACACTTTTACACTGTTGAAATGATTGTAAATTAGTACAAGCACTATGGAAATCAATATAGAGGTTCCTCAAAATACTAGATATGCATTAAATAGAACACTAATCTTTAGAGTATATAAAGAACTCAAAAAGATAAACACCCAAAAAACCAATAACCCAATCAATAAATGGGCCAAGGAACTGAATATACTTCTCAGAAGATGATACACAATCAACAAATATATGAAAAAATGTTCAACATCTCTAGCAACTAGAGAAATGCAAACCAAAACTAATCTAAGATTTCATCTCACTCCAGTTAGAATGGCAGCTATTAAGAATACAAACAACAATAAGTGTTGGTGAGGATGTGGGGAAAAAGGCACACTCATACATTGCTGGTGGGACTGCAAACTGGTGCAGCCAATACGGAAAGCAGTATGGAAATTCCTTGAAAACTGGGAATGGAACACCATTTGACCCAGCTATCCCATTCCTCAGTCTATTCCCAAAGGACTTAAAAACAGCATACTACAGGGACACAGCCACATCAAAGTTTATAGCAGCACAATTCACAACAGCTAAACTGTGGAACTAACCTATATGTCCTTCAGTAGATGAATGGATAAAGAGAATGTGGTATATATACACAATGGAATATTACTCAGCAACAAAAAAGAATAAAATCATGGCATTTGCAGGTTGATGAATGGACGTGGAGGATATAATGCTAAGAAGTTGTCCAGTCCCAAAAAACCAAATGCTGA